TCAGGAATGAAAGGAGCGCCATTAGTAGGGGCTTGGGATACCAGCAAGAATCATCTGCAGAACCGTGGCCGGGGAGAAGTCTGTTGAGAATTCACTAAGGTTTCCTAACCCTTTGTAACTTTATTGTAACATCTGGGCTTCCTTAGAAGGAATCTGTCTTTGGGTTTGATTCTTACACTCTTAAGTGCAGAGGAGGGAAGAGAAGGAGGAAGTTTAGGAAGGTATCTGAGAAAAGGAGCCATCAAGCTTCTTCCTTGAAGGGCCTTCTGGAAGGACGGAGAGGGAGCACACAGGAATGGGGACTGGCTTCCACCTGAGACGGGCTCTCACAGGTCTCTGCGACACGGGAGGCTGCCTGGCACTGTGCACGTGTGTCTTCACCTCTGCATCCTGCTCCTTGGCATCCCCACCACACTGTCGCATTTGTCTAGAAACACACACTTTTTCTCCGCAGAGTGTACACCCCAGCCCTAGCTGCTGAGAACATGGCTACTGACCCCCTCGCGGAGCCTGGCACTGCAAACTGCCTTGGCCCTGTCTTGTGACAGTTCTTGGGAACTGTCTCACCTAGTGCTACACCTCTCCCCCCTCCCAAGGAGCAGCCAAGTCTCGCTGATGCAGAGAGAGACACTTGCCTCTCGCCTTAATTTGGGGCCCACTCTGAAGGGCCATCCCAGCTCCACAGCTCGTGTACTTGGCGGAGGCCTCAGTCACCGTAGCGGTGTAGGTCAACTTCTCCTTTCTTCTGCTCCCTCACTCCCTCTCAGGTGGATCTCCAGAGGCTATTCCGGTCTGTTTCCAGGTACCTCAGCCCAAGATACCCACCCAGCCAAAGCTGTCTCCCAGTGATGGCCCTCTCTGAAAATGGCCCTTTTCCCTCCTTCTCTACCCATCGCCAGGGGCAGAGAGGACTCTACCTCGTGAGCGTCTGTTGACCCAGTGCCACCTCTCTCCAGAGCCACCACCCAGACCCAGTTTCAGGCCCTCGCTTCAGTTTGGAGGCTGCTCATTAACTCCTTGCCTCCAACCCGGCCAACTTTCAGTGCATTCTCCACACT